CACTAACAACACACACAGAAGAAAACCACTTGCAGTGGTGTCTGCTCAACAAAATAATACAGACACTGACTTGGTGACACATAACTGAGGACCTGGCTGGAGTCAAGACAGAGGGATAGTTTGTAAGAGGCGGGTTGACCCCTATGCAACCATGCTGAAATCTTTCAACCTCTTGAAGCAGCTTGGATCTGTGGGGAAGTAAGTACTTTCATGTGCCATTTTGGACTTTTGTTTTGTTTTTGGGGTATACATTTGTGAAAATACAATAGCCTATTCCTTTTCAGTTCTAGTACAATAGTTATTTTCAAAGAACTTGGAACTAACTGCATAGAATGGAGAATACAATCGTGAGACACTATACCGCTAACCAATGCTATCAAGTTTTGTGACAATCTAAACTCCAGTCTGATTCTATGTTCTAATCTTAGTTATTTTCACCATGAGCGTCTGTGGTTGAAAGGATAACCTTTAGACAAGCTTTTGGTGAGTGGGGAGCCTGTTTGGTAGAGTCCACAGGAGGTTGGTGGCACCTTAATTGGGGAGGACGGGCTCGTGGTAATGGCTGGAGCAGAATCAGGGGAATGGTATCAAATACATCAAACACATAGATGCCATTCCATTTGCTCCCTTCCGGCCATTATTATGAGCCGTCCTCCCTCAGCAGCCTCCTGTGGTAGAGCCATCTGAGTTCTGCGTAGGACAGGGTATCCTTGGTGTCTGAGGACAACCACAGAGTTTATGATCATCATGCCACCCTTGGTATGAAAGTAGGAGAAAGAGTGAAGAAGACAGGGTTGCATGGTGTAGTGAGAATAGTGGATGTTCATCTTGATGAGTGAGAGAACAGTCATAACATTGAATAGTTATTTTGGAAGGTGTCACAGCGAGATAACGTGCATCATGTCTTACTTTGTGTGTGGCCTGTGACACAATGGGTTAAAGCAGAGCCATATATTTAAGAGAGTTAGGCCAACTTTTAGAATGTAGAATATTGTTCTAATTCTAGACATTCAGTTACATAGCATTGTTTAAATATTCCCCATGTAATGTTAATGGGGTGCTAACATGGCTGCTATAGAATGTTGAAGTGTCATATAAATGCATCAGCCAGAAAATGACTGGCCACCCCTCAGAGCCTGGTCCTCTCTAGGTTTCTTCCTAGGTTCCTGCCTTTCTAGGGAGTTTTTCCTAGCCACCGTGCCTCTACATCTGCACTGCTTGCGCTCTGGAGTTTTAGACTCTGTTTCTGTATGTGCACATTGTGACAACTGCTGTTATATAAAGGGCTCTATAAACAATTGTGATTGATAATGCAGTAATACGTTGTCCCAACTCTCTAAATATATGGCTCTGGGGGGTTAAAGGGTAAACTTGAGGGCACATCCCGCCAACAAGATTCATATCTACCTCAATTACCTCATACCCCTGCACATCGACTTGGTACTGGTACCCCATGAATATAGCCAAGTTATTGTTAATCATTGTGTATTTATTCCTCGTGTTATTATCTTTCTCTCTGCATTGTTGGGAAGGGCCTGTAAATAAGCATTTCACTGTTAGTCTACACCTGTTGTTTATGAAGCATGTGACAAATACAATTTTATTTGAGATTCCCCTGTACCTTAAAGAGTTAACTGTCACGGTTTCGGCCGAGGCTGCTCCTCTTCCTTGTTCGGGCGGACTTCGGCGGTCGTCGTCTCCGGAGTACTAGCTGCCACCGTTCTATGTTTCTTGTTCTTTTGGTTTTGTCTGTTCATAACACCTGTCCCTTATTTGTGTCTTGATTGTTCCCCTTATTTAGTTTGTTTGTTTGGGTCAGGTGTTATGCGTGATTGTTGTTGTCAGCCTGCCTCTTCGAGTTGGTTCTCTCGTTGTGTTTATTTACGAGAGCTCGCACTGTGTGCGCTTTTTCCTTGTTTTCTCGCACTGTGTATTTTCGTGCGTAATTGTTCGCGCCACCCGGTTGGGTTGGCGACGTATACTTGTGTTTTGGACTCAGTAAAGTTCTGTTGACGTCCTCCTGGTTTCCTGCGCCTGATTCCTATCATCCACCTACACCAGTCTGACATTAACTGTGCCCCTGACTGTCCTTTGACCCAGTAATGTCACATTTACAAAAGCCAATCTGTACATGTGTACAGTGAGGGAAAAAAGTATTTGATCCCCTGCTGATTTTGTACGTTTGCCCACTGACAAAGAAATGATCAGTCTATAACTTTAATGGTAGGTTTATTTGAACAGTGAGAGACAGAATAACAACAACAAAATCCAGAAAAACGCATGTCAAAAATGTTATAAATTGATTTGCATTTTAATGAGGGAAAGAAGTATTTGACCCCTCTGCAAAACATGACTTAGTACTTGGTGGCAAAACCCTTGTTGGCAATCACAGAGGTCAGACGTTTCTTGTAGTTGGCCACCAGGTTTGCACACATCTCAGGAGGGATTTTGTCCCACTCCTCTTTGCAGATCTTCTCCAAGTCATTAAGGTTTCCAGCCTGAAGTTTGGCAACTCGAACCTTCAGCTCCCTCCTCAGATTTTCTATGGTATTAAGGTCTGGAGACTGGCAAGGCCACTCCATGACCTTAATGTGCTTCTTCTTGAGCCAAACCTTTGTTGCCTTGGCCGTGTGTTTTGGGTCATTGTCATGCTGGAATACCCATCCACGACCCATTTTCAATGCCCTGACTGAGGGAAGGAGGTTCTCACCCAAGATTTGACGGTACATGGCCCCGTCCATCGTCCCTTTGATGCGGTGAAGTTGTCCTGTCCCCTTAGCAGAAAAACACCCCCAAAGCATAATGTTTCCACCTCCATGTTTGACGGTGGGGATGATGTTCTTGGGGTCATAGGCAGCATTCCTCCTCCTCCAAACACGGCGAGTTGAGTTGATGCCAAAGAGCTCGATTTTGGTCTCATCTGACCACAACACTTTCACCCAGTTCTCCTCTGAATCATTCAGATGTTCATTGGCAAACTTCAGACGGGCCTGTATATGTGCTTTCTTGAGCAGGGGGACCTTTCGGGCGCTGCAGGATTTCAGTCCTTCACGGCGTAGTGTGTTACCAATTGTTTTCTTGGTGACTATGGTCCCAGCTGCCTTGAGATCATTGACAAGATCCTCCCGTGTAGTTCTGGGGTTCTGGGCTGATTCCTCACCGTTCTCATGATCATTGCAACTCCACGAGGTGAGATCTTGCATGGAGCACCAGGCCGAGGGAGATTGACAGTTCTTTTGTGTTTCTTCCATTTGTGAATAATCGCACCAACTGTTGTCACCTTCTCACCAAGCTGCTTGGCGATGGTCTTGTAGCCCATTCCAGCCTTGTGTAGTTCTACAATCTTGTCCCTGACATCCTTGGAGAGCTCTTTGGTCTTGGCCATGGTGGAGAGTTGGAATCTGATTGATTGATTGCTTCTGTGGACAGGTGTCTTTTATACAGGTAACAAACTGAGATTAGGAGCACTCCCTTTAAGAGTGTGCTCCTAATCTCAGCTCATTACCTGTATAAAAGACACCTGGGAGCCAGAAATCTTTCTGATTGAGAGGGGGTCAAATACTTATTTCCCTCATTAAAATGCAAATCAATTTATAACATTTTTGACGTGTTTTTCTGGATTTTTTTGTTGTTATTCTGTCTCTCACTGTTAAAATAAACCTACCATTAAATTTATAGACTGATCATGTCTTTGTCAGTGGGCAAACGTACAAAATCAGCAGGGGATCAAATACTTTTTTCCCTCACTGTATGTACGTGTATTATGCTGCAGATCAGCTAAAATATGTAATTGGACACCCACGTCAGGTTGTTGATACCCACGCTACCCTGGCTGATAGCTGAGTGTGTCTGCAGCAGGTTGCAACAGACCATGGAAGTTGTGTGTTTGCAGGCCTCTCTGCCACTGACGTGTTTCAGACTATTAATAATCCCTGCTAACAAACAGGGCGGCTGCAACAGAACAGAGCTCTAACCACAGTAGAGGAGCACCTGCCTACACTGTTCTCACTTTGTTCAGAATAAGTGAATGTGACCTTAACTATAAAAAAACACACAGATAGAAAGACAACTATGGGCTTTTGTTTAGTTGAAGAAGAAAAAAACTGTTAGAAAATGCTTGGGCTTCACGGCTACACTGCAGCTGTTTCACTGCTATAAAACTGCTCTCTATGAGATGCTGCTGAAACTTCATTGCCATTGTTTCATTCTCTCTCTCTCTCTGTCTCTCTCTCTCTCTCTCTCTCTCTCTCTCTCTCTCTCTCTCTCTCTCTCTCTCTCTCTCTCTCTCTCTTTCTCTCTGCCTGTCACTCACTCATCACTCACTCACTCACTCACTCACTCACTCTCTCATCCCCACCTGTAAGTAGCCTAAAACAGTAAATAAAGGATTTGAAAACAAAAAATTTCTGCCCCATGTGGGATTAGAACTCACAAATTTAGCAGACCACCACCAATCAGTCATAGCAGCTGGGAAAAAATACAGCTAGTTGACATGACCACCATTGTCATCTATTAATTTTTATGATGGATGTAGATATGAATATAAATGTATAATCCTCATAGCCTACATGTTTTCTTTCTTCGTAAAAGCACATAGATGTGCATGAAACGGTAAGCAAAAACGTTGCATTTGGTCATATGCGGAATTGTGCCTTACTGCCTTTTTGAATTTTGTGTAACGTCAGTAGTCTAGTCAAAGAAGCATCATGCAAAATATACTGTATTGGCACACTCCACTTACCAAGTACATTGCCAAATAAGACTGCAACACACTGCAACACAAATATGGCCTGAAAGCCTTTTTTATTCTTATCAACAGGTCACAGGATGCCACTGACCTTCTCACAGAAGATCTGGTTATGGTGAGTTAAGGCTGATGATAAAGGGGGATAGTGGTGGCTCAGTTCACTACGTGAAGAGTTTTCTCAGTGAATACATTTGTACCGAGCTCAGTGTGAACATAAGACACGCTCTATATCTGTCATTTTCATTGGTCTAAGGTGGAGCAGCGGGTGGAGCCAGCCAAGAAGGCAGCGCAGGTTATTCACAAGAAGCTGCTGGGCTGTCTGCAGAGTCAACTAGGGCTGGACACAGAGAGACGAATGGTAAAGTCTGCTCTTTGACCTTTCATCCCTTACCCTCGACTTGACGTCCCTCTATTATGATTATCAATACAAAATTATCTCGCTCTCTCTTTTTAGAAAAAACTCCCTCTCATGCTGCTCTCTGTTAGCATGGCTGAGAGCTTTAAAGAATTTGATCCAGACTCTTCTATCAGGTACTTTAAGTAACCAAACCATTTATTCAATCATCCAAATTATCAGTTGAACATTCATCAATTAATCAATCAGTCTATTTCCTCTCTGATAGGAAAGTATTGGAGATGTGTTGCTTCATGGAGAGTCATCTGGCCGCAACACTGGCTGACTTTGAGCTGAAGCTGGAGAAGGAGGTTTTGGAACCTCTCAATAAACTCAGTGAGGTAAGGGCTTGCGTTAGCAAGAGGTATTCAGCCACTTTTGGATTAAAATTGAAGTTTGTGATTATGTAGTATTACATATGAATACTTTAAAAAAATATATTATTATTATTATTTAAAAAAATGTATTGGCCCATCCACCCCCCCTCTTCGGAGGACAAATGTAACTTTGTTTTACATTTTGTTTTTTTACAGCTTTTTTTGTTACATATACACTACCGGTCAAAAGTTTTAGAACACCTACTCATTCAACGGTTTTTCTTTATTTTTACTATTTTCTACATTGTAGAATAATAGTGAAGACATCAAAACTATGAAATAACACATATGGAATCATGTAGTAACCAAAAAAGTGTTAAACAAATCAAAATATATTTTATATTTGAGATTCTTCAAATAGCCACCCTTTGCCTTGATGATAGTTTTGCAAACTCTTGGCATTCTCTCAACCAACTTCACCTGGAATGCTTTTCCAACAGTATTGAAGGAGTTCCCACATATGCTGAGCGCTTGTTGGCTGCTTTTCCTTCCCTCTGCGGTCCGACTCATCCCAAACCATCTCAATTTGGTTGAGGTCGGGGGATTGTGGAGGCCAGGTCATCTGATGCAGCACTCCATCACTCTCTTTCTTGGTAAAATAACCCTTACACAGCTTGGAGGTGTGTTGGGTCATTGTCCTGTTGAAAAACAAATTATAGTCCCACTAAGCCCAAACCAGATGGGATGGTGTATCGCTGCAGAATGCTGTGGTAGCCATGCTGGTTAAGTGTGCCTTGAATTCTAAATAAATCATTGACAGTGTCACCAGCAAAGCACCCCCACACCATAACACCTCCTCCTCCATGCTTTACGGTGGGAAATACACATGCAGAGATCATGCGTTCACACACACCGCGTCTCACAAAGACCTAAAATCTCAAATTTGGACTCCAGACCAAAGGACAAGTTTCCACCGGTCTAATGTCCATTGCTCGTGTTTCTTGGCCCAAGCAAGTCTCTTCTTATTATTGGTGTCCTTTAGTAGTGGTTTCTTTGCAGCAATTCGACCATGAAGGCCTGATTCACACAGTCTCCTCTGAACAGTTGATGTTGAGATGTGTCTGTTACTTGAACTCTGTGAAGCATTTATTTGGGCTGCAATTTCTGAGGCTGGTAACTCTAATGAACTTATCCTTTGCAGCAGAGGTAACTCTGGGTCTTCCATTCCTGTGGCGGTCCCCATGAGAGCCAGTTTCATCATAGCGCTTGATGGTTTTAGTGACTGCACTTGAAGAAACATTCAAAGTTCTTGAAATGTTCCCTATTGACTGATCTTCATGTCTTAAAGTAATGATGGACTGTTGTTTCTCTTTGCTTATTTGAGCTGTTCTTGCCATAATATGGACTTGGTCTTTTACCAAATAGGGCTATCTTCTGTATACCCCCCTACCTTGTCACTACACAACTGATTGGCTCAAACGCATTAAGAAGGAAAGAAATTCCTCAAATTAACTGTTAATTGAAATGCATTCCAGGTGACTACCTCATGAAGCTGTTTGAGAGAATGCCAAGAGTGTGCAAAGCTGTCACCAAGGCAAAGGGTGACTATTTGAACAATCTCAAATATAAAATATATTTTGATTTGTTTAACACTTTTTGGGTTACTACATGATTCCATATGCGTTATTTCATAGTTTTGATGTCTTCACTATGTAGAAAATTGTAAAAAATTAAGAAAAACCCTTGAATGAGTAGGTGTTCTAAGACTTTTGACCGGTAGTGTACATTTTACACACATTTTACATACATGGTGCTTTTACACACAGTAATTACACAACGAAGATATTGTTTTTTGATTATACATATTACATTTTGGGCTACTCTCAGCCCATCCCACCTATCTCCGTAGACCATCCTCTTTTGATTTCCACGTGCCATATATTTTTCAACTGTGCTGTGACGTTTTACATGAATTTTGAACCTTTCTAATCGCATAGTATCCACAGACTGTGAGTTAAAGAGGAAAATTTTTCCTAAGAGTATTATTATATTGTTGATTGATTGACTATGGCTTTCCAAATCGCCCAACACTGCTATTTGTAAGGATAATTTTAAAAGAATGTAGTGATTTTTCAGCCATTCCTGAAAATGTGACCAGAAACAAGCTAGATGGGGACAATACCAGAATAAATTATCTAAGGATTCTGTTTCTTCACAGCAAAATATGCAGAGCAGAGATTGTTGTGTGCCCCATATATATAACATTCTGTTAGTGGCAAGAATTTTGTATAATAATTTAAATTGAAAAACCCAATGTTGAATCAAGCGTTGTTTTGTATATCAATTCATACACCATGTGCATGGAATGGGTACACCGAAAATCTCTTCCTAGCTATTTTTGAAACTTGTATGGCGCAGCTGTCAATATATTTGTCCTCAAATGAAACTGTTATATTTTTCTATTTATGCCAACCTTTTTCAACCAATTTTGGTCTTTAATATACAGTATGGCAGACAGACAAGTTCCCTACCTTCTCCCCCTTCCACTTGTCTCCTCCATTTTTGAGTTAATGCTGCAATCAGTATAACTTTGGATTGAGCAAACATTTCCATATATTTTCGACAGCTGCAAATGTGAGCTGCAAATCAGTGAGCTGAACGAGAACTACACCATTCCTATTCATAATATCTTTAATATATATAATACCATTTTAAAAAATGCAGGAAAATGTTTTTTTTTCAATCAGTATATTTGTGTTGAACCATAATATTTGTTCTAATATTTGTTCTGTCTTTTCTGGAGGATAATATTGAAATTGTAACCAGCTTTGTATGACTTGTTTAAGGAAGGGCGATATTTGAACACGGTTTCATTTTCAATTAACCAAAAATGAGAAGTTGTAATCTGTATAAAGGCAAAAAGGCCATTTTTTAATAAAGGATGAGCCTTTCTTAGTAATCTACTGGAGAATAACTTATGTATTAGTGAAGCTTTTAGTGAGAGGTTTAATTACATACGAATACTAACTGTTTCTATCTGTAGGAAGACCTTCCAGAGATTCTCAAAAACAAGAAGCAGTTTGCCAAACTCACAATGGACTGGCACAATGCACGCAACAAGTGGGTCACACATTCTTTGTGTTTGTATTTGACAGACCCTATATGCTACAGAAAGTACACAGTTCCTTTATACATATATAATAACTACCTTTAGTCAGTATCTCCATTGTGTCCATTCTTTTGCTTTGTGGCTTCTGATCATGGATGACTTTGCCCCTTCAGGTCCCAGGCCAGTACGGGCCCTCAGGCAAAGCATAATGGGCTGAAAGAGGAAGTGGAAGAGGCCTGGAGGAAACTGGAGAGCATCAAGGTGTTGGATGATGTTGGATGTTACTGTTTCAGACACTTTGTTGTTTTATGCAGTAGTTTCAGCCTCTTACATATTAACTGTTTGTATGGCTATACGTTCTCTGCAGGACCAATACTCTGCAGATCTGTATCACTTCGCCACTAAAGAAGATGACTATGCCAACTACTTCATTCGTGTGAGTGTGGCCTACTAATTGTCCTCTCTTTCAAGCTGTACTTTTGTTAATTATCATGTGCTATTAGCTATTAGGAATTAGACTTAATAAAATCACAAAAAGTATAATTGATAAGTGCCTGGGTTGTGCTCTCTCAGCTGCTGGAACTACAAGCAGAACATCATAAGAATTCCCATGACTTCCTCGAACGAAACATCAGTGAGCTGAAAGAGAACCACAGTCAAACAGGTGAATAGGGTGTGTGTATGTATGTACTGTATGTATGTGTGTGTGTATTTGCAATTACAATACCCAGGCCATACTTAGTGTACATGGGTAACTCCCCCTATCCAATGTGTAGCACCCACTTGCCTAGTATTTGTCCAGTGTGTCACCAGTATGTGTGTTAACACAGACTCCCAGGAGAATAACTCTAAGCAGAAGGTCTACGGGGAGCCCCTGCTGACTCATCTGTACAACAGCGGCAGGGAGATCGCTGTTCCCATCCAGGAGTGTGTTCACATGCTGCTGCACACCGGCATGAGGGAGGAGGTGAGGACTGGGATTATTCATCTATTACATGGTATTCGTGTGAATGGGATATTTCTAATTAACTGAGCAGGTGAAAGGACTCTGTAGTCAGTCTACGATAATGTTTGCCCGCTTGGATAAAATCAGTCTATCTCTCCCTCCATCTCTCTCCCAGGGTCTGTTTCGTCTGGCGGCAGCAGCCTCGGTAGTGAAGAGACTGAAGAGCAGTCTGGATGGAGGGGTCGTGAACCACAGCGAGTTCAATGACCCTCATGCAGTCGCAGGTCAGAGAGACCGTCCCTGTTGACAGTACCCCTTATTCAAGGTTTTCAAGTTTCAAATGTCTTTACTTGACAGTTAAACAACACGTAGGCACTAAGCAGCATTTTCTCTTTTATCCATGTAGGGGCTTTGAAAAGCTACCTGAGAGAGCTGCCTGAACCCCTCATGACCTTTGAACTCTACAATGATTGGTTTCAAGCAGCAGGGTAAGGTCCTTGATTGGTCTACATCTTAAAAGCATACAGTACATAGTGTCTTTACATGATTTCGCTCCCCCCTAATTTCTCCTCATTAAATATCTCTCTGTTCCTCTCTTTATTTAGGGAGAAAGAATTGACAGACAAACTTGAGCAGTTTAAAATTGTGCTGAAGAAGTTACCATCAGAAAACTACAACAACCTCCGGTATGTCCATATCTCTGTAACCCATAGCTCTCTCTGATCTTGACCGATTCGTGTGTGAAGTTATAAACACTCAAGAATGATGCAGGGTGTGTGATTGTGAATATCTCCCTATCTGCCCAGTAGCGGTGCTTGGGGAAAATCACTGCGGAATCCAAGCCCCCCCCCCCCCCCCCCCCCCCCCCCCCCAAAAAAAAAGCTATGTGTTGTGATAATTGTGTTGCTTGCTCTATAACCTGTTAGTTCATATGCCTTGACACCGTGATATATAGGCCTAAGGTCGAGACAATTAGAAGACACAGTGGCAGAACAAATTCAACCACACATTTGTTTCATTACAAAACCAGAGAGCAACATCTGTCCGGTGAAGTCCACAAAACATATTGCATCTAACAAACAGTTACATGACCTAGAGCACGGTCAAGCAAGGTAATGTTTCCGACATTTTCGGACTACTAAACAACTATTGATTTAGAACCACGGAGAGTTGTCGCAAAGAAACAGGAGCTGCCTCCACTATTCCAGTACCATTTCAACTTCAACATTTCAACATCATCTAATCACCTATGCCAAAAATGCCAAAAACTATTTAGTTCAACCAATGTAAGCTAAATATGATGTGGCTGTCCATGGTACTGATTTCTGTGTGTGTGGTGTGTGTGTGTGCAAGTAGAAAAACATGTTGACTCACCCTACTTATAGAGAAACGCCAATGCAATCCTCCTCATGTTGCCTAAACGGTCTATGACAATGTCATACAGTACACTCTTTTAGTTTTTGTTGTCCTAGGCTACCTGGCTAAAATGCTTGCTCGCTAGCCTAACTTCCTTTCATGGGCAACGATACGCCAGGCCAGCTAGTTAACATCAGCATACTACATCTAGCTACACGTTGAACTTCCATCCTCTCAGGCCAGGGGCACAATGTATGCATTTTTGGTTGGATCTGAATCACCGTTATAATCATTGGCCAGTACGGAAAGTTAAGTAAAACCACACGTCCAAATCCCTATCTCCATCCATGGCTAATTTAGGAAAGGTTGATTTTAGCTAGTTAGCTAGCCACCGGAGGACAATGACACAACGAGATGGCTTCTGATGTGATATGATTGGTCTGAAGCCAAATCCAAACTGGCTTCCCTTGACACTTTTTTTTGGTGTGCCGGGACCATTTTACAGCTGAGCTCACTCAGTTTAGCTCAACGCTGATTGGCTATTATTTTATCTTTTTTTGTCAAGGGAGGCCAAATGTTCACTGGCTTCCCTTGCATTCAATGCTACGGGCAGCAACAATGTCATACTATTTTTGACCAGACAGAATCAGAATTGAAGGAAATGTATGAAACACAGAGAGACGAAAGATAAATGATTTTGTATGTTTTTGTCTTTTTTTCTTTGTACATTTTTTGGGGAAGCCTGGCTTTCCTTGACATCCATGAATACACACCACTGTATCTGCCTCCCCCCCCCCCCCCCCCCCCCCCCCCCCCCCCCCCTATTAGGTACCTGGTACAGTTCCTGTCTTGTCTGTCAGAGCAGCAGACGGTTAACAGGATGAGTCCCAGGAACATTGCCATAGTACTGGGTCCCAACCTGCTGTGGCCTCGCATGGAGGGGTGGGTACTACTGACATACTGACAGAGAGAGGAAACTGAACCACCCTATTAGTCTGTCATAATAGCCCTATGTCTCAATGTTGTTCCTGGTGTCACTTTCTATTATTACATGATTGTTATTAATCTGATTAGGTCTCTGTTTAGCTATGTCTCTGTGTTCTTTAGTACTTTACTTTAACCTATGTTTCTTTCTTTCTCTCTCTCCCTCTCTTTCCGTCTCACTTTCTCATCTCTCACCCCTCATCCCACTTCTCTTTCTTCCTTTCAATTTCCCTCTCCCCCGTCCAATTCTGTACCATCATACATTTTCCTCTTCACATCTCTCCATCAACCTCTCTCCCTCTCTTTCAGGGAGGCAGCGTTGTTGGACATGGCATCTGCCTCCTCCGTCCAAGTGATGGGAGTGGTTGAGCCTCTCATACAAAACTCCAGCAGCCTGTTTCCAGAAGGTACAGTACCACCTTCAATGTGATGTTTGTGTGTTCGAGGGAGGAGCAGTGGGAGTCCTTTTAGTGATCAGTTGATTTGCATGAAATGTGTGGAAGTTAGCCACTAGATAACTGAGAGAGCTGCCTGAACCCCTTTGGATAGTATTTTGATTAATTCACTAATTTTTCTTACTATGTTGAGCTACTGTATGTTAGGTAGGTCTATGGATTTTTTATGCAACACAGTTTCTGAGAGTAGGCCTATGTTGTGTTCCTCTCCAGAGGTGGACTTTGAGATTCCTGAGCTTCCTGGGGTCCCAGATTTGAAAATGTCAGAACCTCAACCTTCAGAGACTGGGAAAGAGAACCTTGCCAGAACTACCTCCTCCTCTTCATCATGTGCTTCCTCTTCCTCTTCGCATTCCTCTCTCTGTAAAACAGTCAGGTACCACACACACAGACTGAACAGGAATGAAACATTTCCAATATTCATAAAAAAAGGCATTTGAACAGAATTTCTATGTTCACTTTCTATTATAACAGTGTGTTATCTAACACCGACTGTCACCTCCACAGCTCAGCGTCTCAGGACAGTGGAGGTCTTTTCATCATCAAGTCAGGCTCCATTGGTCGTAGAACCACCACCTGGGGGAACCCTGCCTCAGACCCACCATGCTCAACCCCACTTAACCCTACCCCAGTCCAGACCCAGAACACGTCCCCTGTCCCAAGCCCGACACTGGTTCACAACCCATCCCCACTACCCAGCCCCAAACTGGCACCTGGCCCAAGCCTGGTTCCCTCCCTACCACCAGTGTCTGTCTGCAGTCCGACCCAGAAGCAGAGTCCTGAATCGGGCTCACTAGAATCCATCCTAGAGGCCCCACCGGACTCCCCCAGAGCTATACTGAAGATCACTTCATCATACAAACGTAGGTGGCTGTCCACGACAGGTCCATGACATGTGAACAGTGCCGCCTGGCTCAGTTGGTAGCGCACAGCGCTTGCAACGCCAGACTTGTGGGTTCGATTCCCACGGGGGACCAGTACGAAAAAGTATTAAAATGTATGCACTCACCACTGTAAGTCCCTCTGGATCTGAGCATCTACTAAATTACTAAAATGTAAAGCACATACAGTACCAGTCAAAAGTTTGGACACACCTACTCATTCCAGGGTTTTTCTTTATTTTTACTATTTTCTACATTGTAGAATAATAGTGAAGACATCAAAAAAGTGTTACACAAATCAAAATATATTTTATATTTGAGATTCTTCAAATAGCCACCCTTTGCCTTGATGACAGCTTTGCACACTCTTGGCATTCTCTCAACCAGCTTCATGAAGTTGTCACCTGGAATGCATTTCAATTAACAGGTGTGCCTTGTTAAAAGTTCATTTGTGGAATTTCTTTCCTTCTTAATGCGTTTGAGCCAATCAGTTGTGTTGTGACAAGGTAGGGGTGGTATACAGAAGATAGCCCTATTTGGTAAAAGACCAAGTCCATATTATGTCAAGAACAGCTCAAATAAGCAAAGAGAAACAATAGTCCATCATTACTTTAAGACATGAAGTTCAGTCAATATGGAACATTTCAAGAACTTTGAATGTTTCTTCAAGTGCTGTTGCAAAAACCATCAAGCGCTATGATGAAACTGGCTCTCATGAGGACCGCCACAGGAAAGGAAGACCCAGAGTTACCTCTGCTGCAGAGGATAAGTTCATTAGAGTTACCAGCCTCAGAAATTGCAGCCCAAATAAATGCTTCACAGAGTTCAAGTAACACATCTCAACATCAACTGTTCAGAGGAGACTGTGTGAATCAGGCCTTCATGGTTGAATTGCTGCAAAGAAACCACTACTAAAGGACACCAATAATAATAAGAAGAGACTGGCTTGGGCCAAGAAACACAATGAAAATTAGACTGGTGGAAATCTGTCCTTTGGTCTGATGAGTCCAAATGTGAGATTTTTGGTTCCAACCACCGTGTCTTTGTGAGACGCAGAGTAGGTGAACGGAGGATCTCCGCATGTGTGGTTCCCACCGTGAAGCATGGAGGAGGAGGTGTGATGGTGTGGGGGTGCTTTGCTGGTGACACTGTCAATGATTTATTTAGAATTCAAGGGACACTTTACCAGCATGGCTACCACAGCATTCTGCAGCGATACGCCATCCCGTCTGGTTTGCGCTTAGAGGGACTATCATTTGTTTTTAAACAGGACAATGACCCAACACACCTCCAGGCTGTGTAAGGGATATTTGACCAAGAAGGAGGGAGATGAAGTGCTGCATCAGATGACCTGGCCTCCACAATCCACCGACCTCAATTCAATTGAGATGGTTTGGGATGAGTTGGAATGCAGAGTGAAGGAAAAGCAACCAACAAGTGCTCAGCATATGTGGGAACTCCTTCAAGACTGTTGGAAAATCATTCCAGGTGAAGCTGGTTAAGAGAACGCCAAGAGTGTGCAGCGCTGTCATCAAGGCAAAGGGTGGTTACATTGAAGAATCTCAAATCTCAAATATATTTTGATTTGTTTAATTTTGTATTTTTTTTTTTGTCATTTAGCAGACGGTCTTATCCAGAGCGACTTACATGAGCAATTAGGGTTAAGAGCCTTGCTTAAGGGCACATTGACAGATTATTCACCTAGTCGGCTCGGGGATTAGAACCAGCGACCTTTCGGTTACTGGCACAACGCTCTTACCCACTAAGCTACCTGCCGCCCCAGTGTTTAACACTGTTTTGGTTACTACATGATTCCATATGTGTTATTTCATAGTTTTGATGTCTTCACTATTATTCTACAATGTAGGAAATAGTCAAAATAAAGAAAAACTCTTGAATGAGTAGGTGTGTCCAAACTTTTGACTGGTGCTGTAACTCATGCTAGCTAATGATATCTAATGCTTAGACAGTAGGGAAGACAATACTTATTTAGACGGTACTAAAGTCCCTCATAGCACTCATGTTGCGTTACGGTCCACCCAGCATAAGTGACAAACCACTGCCCCACTTTAGTACAAGGAAGCTGCGATCTGCAGCAGCAGTGGCTAAAATAACCAACGGCTTCTAATGACAAAAATGTCCTAGTAAATAACTGTTGCACTACCACAACCTACAGTTCTAGTTTCAAGCACTACCACAACCTACAGTTCTACACTGCTCAAAAAAATTAAGTGAACACTAAAATAACACCTCCTAGATCTGAATGAATGAATTAATCTTATTAAATACTTTTTTCTTTACATAGTTGAATGTGTTGACAACAAAATCATACAAAAATTATCAATGGAAATCAAATGTATCAACCCATGGAGATCTGGATTTGGAGTCACCCTCAAAATTAAAGTGGAAAACCACACTACAGGCTGATCCAACTTTGATGTAATGTCCTTAAAACAAGTCAAAATGAGCCTCAGTAGTGTGTGTGGCCTCCACGTGCCTGTATGACCTCCCTACAACGCCTGGGCATGCTCCTGATGAGGTGGCGGATGGTCTCCTGAGGGATCTCCTCCCAGACCTGGACTAAAGTATCCACCAACTCCTGGACAGTCTGTGGTGCAACGTGGCGTTGGTGGATGGAGCGAGACATGATGTCCCAGATGTGCTCAATTGGATTCAGGTCTGGGGAACGGGCGGGCCAGTCCATAGCATCAATGCCTTCCTCTTGCAGGAACTGCTGACATACTCCAGCCACATGAGGTCTAGCATTGTCTTGCATTAGGAGGAACCCAGGGCCAACCGCACCAGCATATGGTCTCACAAGGGGTCTGAGGATCTCATCTCGGTACCTAATGGCAGTCAGGCTACCTCTGGCGAGCACATGGAGGGCTGTGCGGCCCCCCAAAGAAATGCCCCCCCCACACCATGACTGACCCACCGCCAAACCGGTCATGCTGGAGGATGTTGCAGGCAGCAGAACGTTCTCCACGGCGTCTCCAGACTCTGTCATGTCTGTCACATGTGCTCAGTGTGAACCTGCTTTCATCTGTGAAGAGCACAGGGTGCCAGTGGCGAATTTGCCAATCTTGGTGTTCTCTGGCAAATGCCAAACGTCCTGCACGGTGTTGGGCTGTAAGCACAACCCCCACCTGTGGACATCGGGCCCTCATACCACCCTCATGGAGTCTGTTTCTGACCGTTTGAGCAGACACATGCACATTTGTGGCCTGCTGGAGGTCATTTTGCAGGGCAGTGCTCCTCCTGCTCCTCCTTACACAAAGGCAGAGGTAGCAGTCCTGCTGCTGGGTTGTTGCCCTCCTACGGCCTCCTCCACATCTCCTGATGTACTGGCCTGTCTCCTGGTAGCGCCTCCATGCTCTGGACACTACGCTGACAGACACAGCAAACCTTCTTGGCCATCCTGGATGAGCTGCACTACCTGAGCCACTTGTGTGGGTTGTAGACTCCGTCTCATGCTACCACTAGAGTGAAAGCACCACCAGCATTCAAAAGTGACCAAAACATCAGCCAGTAAGCATAGGAACTGAGAAGTGGTCTGTGGTCACCACCTGCAAAACCAGTCCTTTATTGGGGGTGTCTTGCTAATTGCCTATAATTTCCACCTGTTGTCTATTCCATTTGCACAACAGCATGTGAAATGTATTGTCAATCAGTGTTGCTTCCTAAGTGGACAGTTTGATTTCACAGAAGTGTGATTGACTTGGAGTTACATTGTGTTGTTTAAGTGTTCCCTTTATTTTTTTTGAGCAGTGTAGTTTCAAGTAGATGTAAATACATACCCCAAATACTCTAATATAATAATACACATCTATAGTCCCAATAAGACTTATCCTCAACACCCAACTACCCCTTTCTCCTTTTTCTCTTTTCACAGCGAGGAGATCCTTCCTTCAACACAAGCCGCCCATCCAGAGTAAAGAGCAGGTGGCCATTACATACTCCAAACCCAGGGCCCCAGCACCTCTAGCCCCAGCAGAGGCACCCAAAACACAGCCACAACCTGCACCCAAGCCCCTAACTCCGGTCCTGAAGAAAACCCCAAGCAAAAAGGGTGCAATCAGGCCCCCCCAAATCCCACCACCCAAGCCCCCAGTACTGGAAAGCAAACAGGTGACCTCTATAGCGTAGTGAGGGGTTAGAGATACACTATATATACAAAAGTATGTGGACACCCCTTCAAATTAGTGGATTCGGCTATTTCAGCCACATCCATTGCTGACAGGTGTATAAAATCGAGCACACAGCCATGCAATCTCCATTGACAAACATTGGCAGTTGAATGGCCTTACTGAAGAGCTCAGTGACTTTCAACGTGGCACCTTTTCAACAAGTCAGTTCGTAACATTTCTGCCCTGCTAGAGCTGCCCCGGTCAACTGTAAGTACTGTTATTGTGAAGTGGAAACGTCTAGGAGCAACAATGGCTCAGCCACGATGTGGTAGGCCACACAAGCTTACAGAATGTGACCGCTGAGTGCTGAAGCGCGTAGCACGTAAAAATCGTCTGTCCTCGGTTGCAACACTCACTACCGAGTTCCAAACTGCCTCTGGAAGCAACATCAGCACAATAACTGTTTGTCGGGAGCTTAATGAAATGGGTTTCCAGCCACACACAAGCCTAAGATCACCATGCGCAATGCCAAGCGTCGGCTGGAGTGATGTAAAGCTCGCCGCCATTGTACTCTGGAGCAGTGGAAACGCGTTCTCTGGAGTGATGAATCACACGTCACCATCTGTTAGTCCAACGGACGAATCTGGGTTTGGCAGATGCAAGGAGAATGCTACCTGCCCGAATGCATAGTGCCAACTGTAAAGTTTGGTGGAGGAGGCTGTTTGGTCTGGGGCTGTTTTTCATGGTTCGGGCTAGGCCCCTTAGTTCCAGTGAAGGGAAATCTTAATGCTACCGCATACAATTACATTCTAGACGATTCTGTGCTTCCAACTTTGTGGCAACAGTTTGAGGAAGGCCCTTTCCTGTTTCAGCATGACAATGCCCCCGTGCACAAAGCGAGGTCCATACAGAAATGGTTTGTCGAGATCGGTGTGAAAGAACTTGACTGGCCTGCACAGAGCCCTGACCTCAACCCCATCGAACACCTTTGGAATGAATTGGAACGCAGACTGCAAGCCAGGCCTAATCTCCCAACATCAGTGCCTGACCTCACTAATGCTCTTTTGGCTGAATGGAAGCAAGTCCCTGCAGCAATGTTCCAACATCTAGTGGAAAGCCTTCCCAGAAGAGTGGAGGCTGTTATAGCAGCAAAGGGGGGACAAACTCAATATTAATACCCATGATTTTGGAATGAGATGTTCGACGAGCAGGTGTTCACATACTTTTGGTCATGTAATTAATAATATTAATATGCCATTTATTAGATGCTTTTATGCAAAGCGACTTACAGTCGTGTGCATACATTAGTGTATAGTGTATCATCTAAGCCTGTGTAAAGAAGTTTTCTTATGCTTATGTTGACTGTAACCTGACATTTAGTGTAACCTGTTTTGGGTTGCATATCAAGGCCAGAGATGTATTGGGCTTCTGCAGCCGGTTCAACTCCTAGAGAAAAAGTGCTCTGTGGTTTGAGAGCTATCATACGTCCATTATATGTTGTGATTTATTTAGTGCATGTTTTGTATTACAGTTGTATGAACGTTTTCAGACACGTAAATAAAGTATTAATGCCCATGCTTATTAAAAACATTTTATTTCATTTATCATTATAGAAATATCATTGGTATCAATAGCAGCACATTTATGCGGATGGGGGACACTGCTTTTCATAATATAGTCTAAAAAGAGGATTCAACCATTGGTTGACACAATAGCAGACAAGCAGGTGACTATCATATCGAAAAGCAATATGAGAGTTAGCTAGACCCATAATGAATTTGGGAAACATGTCTAAATGGGGTATGATGTAAATATGTGAATTAACAAACTTACAGTAAAAACATTATACTTGTGAATATTACATTGTACAAAATTATCTTCTTCCATTTAACTTCTGAGTAAATTTCTCATGGTTTGTGCTTCATACTGTATCTGTAGAATAAGCAGAAATGAAGTGTTTGTCTTGGGTGTAATCTTCAGGCAAAAGAGGATTGTTTTCCTGTAGTTAACGTCACGTGCTAAGAGTTAAGATCTCTCTCTTGGTGTAGTGTGTTTCCATGGGACTGGTTGGTGGTGAGGGAAAGATGAAGTTGGGTTGAAACCGCTACTGCCTTGTCTTCGTGTCCTGTTTGTTGCCTTGGATAGTTATATGAAATCACACATTGAGCAGTTTTCTTAGAAAGCACACAGTATATTTAACCAGCTGTTAACAGACTTACACATTGTTGTGCAACGTCTTTGGTGTTTCCATCACAGGAGGCTGCTGAGAGGAGAACAGTTCATAATAATGGCTGGAACGGTGCAAATGGAATGGCATCAAACACCTGGAAATCATGTGTTTGATGAATTTGATACCATTCCACCTATTCCACTCCAGTCATTACCACGAGCCCGTCCTCCCCAATTAAGGTGCCACCAACCTCCGGTGGTTTCCATGGTAACTCCTCTGCGTCAGACCACTTTCTGTGGTATATTCTCACACTTTCTACCCCATCTCTTTGTTTCTTTGTTCGCCACTGGTTCCAGTGACCTCTTTTAAAAGCACATGTAGTTAGCTATTATTAGCCTGTTCTAGCTCCTTCCATAATGTATGTTTGCTTGGGGAACTTTCAGCATCCATCATCTTTCAATGAGTCTTTCAACAAATATACTTTCCACCACATTTGGGAGAATTCGGGAACAATATCAAATTCTTTAAGTGAGTCTTCTGACGACATAACATTCAATTTCTCCAAGGAATATTTGAAAATGATGAAGAAGAAGGGTCAATAGAGGCAGTTTCTTAAGACAAAAGACTTTACAAGGAATTAACCAATAATCACAACCCACTGGGCACAGACATCAATTCAACGTCTATTCCATGTTGGTTTCAACGTAATGTAATTGAAATGACATGGAAAAAACATTGATTCAACCAGTGTGTGCCCAGTGGGAAATCTGTAGTAGGTACTTCTGGTTAAACACAATTTAGGCTGTCATTATAGTTCAGACTTTGATTTCCTCCTCCTCCTCATCAGGTGTAATGCAAATGTAAGGGGTTTTCTTCATGGTCTGGCACATGGTCACCTTTCCCTCCAGATCCATCCTCTGCTGCCCCTTCAGGAGCCCTCCAACCCCGTAGAGCACCCCCAGCACATCAGTGGAACCCTGGAACCTCTCACTCTCCATAGCAGGCCTCTGTCTAGAGGGGGAGCCCATCACTAAATCAGGCACCGCCCCTTTAAGATGCTGCTCACCTCCATCCACATTCGTTCTCCTAGCCTCCTCTTCCTCCTCTTCCCACTCCATCCCATATGGACTCTTCCTGCTACTACTACAGTCCTCTCGAAGCAGAGAATCCACCAATGAGGCAGTGGTGGCATCCATCTCCGAGTCCATCTCCGAGCCTTCATTGGTCGCAAACCCGAACGCAGAGCCGCTTGGCTCCTCCGCCTCCTCTGCCTCCCAGGCGTGGCTGGGCTCTGGGTGGCCATTGGGACTGTCAATCAAACCGAACACCTCGCTCATGAGGGAGGGCCCCAGGTCGAAGGTGAAGGATGCCATGGAGGACAAGGAGTCGAACCGGGGTCATGTGACCAGGGTCAGAGGTCAGGGTCGGGTCAGCAGAGGAGGACAGGAGGGCGGAGACGTCGGTGAGCGAGCCGCCGTGGGTGTTGGGGGTACAGGAGCCTCCCTGCTGCAACTGACGCTCCGCTGAGCAGGAGAGGCGAGGCAGAGTGACGAAACCTGACTCCAGACCTGAGGTGGAGCAGAGACAGGGAGTTTAAAATAATTTAAAATAATACATGGAATTTCAGTTGGCACCCTAGTTTTACCATTAAATACATTCAGGAATAAACATGTACTTAACAAGTCACATAATAAGTTGCATAGACTCACTCTGTGTTCAATAATAGTTTTTAACATGATTTTTAAATCTTTGTACCCCACTCATACAATTATCTTTAAGGTCCCTCAGTCGAGCAGTGAATTTCAAACACAGATTCAACCACAAAGACCAGGGAAATTTTCCAATGCTTCGCAAAGAAGGGCACCTATTGGTAGATGGGTAAAATAAAATAAAAAAGCAGACATTGAATATCCCTTTCAGCATGGTGAAGTTATTAATTACACTTTGGATGGTGTATCAATACACTCAGTTGCCGGAGAGGAAGGAAACCGCTCAGGGATTTCACCATGAGGCCAATGGTGACTTAAAACAGTTACAGAGTTTAATGGCTGTGATAGGAGAAAACTGAGGATGGATCAACAACTTTGTAGTTACTCCACAATACTAACCTAATTGATAGAGTGAAAAGAAGGAAGCCTGTACAGAATACAAATATTCCAAAACATGCATCCTGTTTGCAACAAGGCACTAAAGTAATACTGCAAAAAATGTGGAAAAGCAATTAACTTTTTGTCCTCAATACAAAGTGTTATATTTGGGGCACATCCAATAAAACACTCTCCATATTTTCAAGCACAGTGGTGGCTGCATCATATCATGGGTATGCTTGTAATTGTTAAGGACTGGGGAGTTATTCAGGATAAAAAAGAAACGGAATGGAGCTAAGCACAGGATCCTAGAGGAAAACCTGGTTCATTCAGCTTTCCACCAGATACTGGGAGATGAATTTACCTTTCAGCAGGACAATAACCTAAAACACAAGGACAAATCTACACTGGATTTGCTTACCAAGAAGACAGTGAATGTTCCTGAGTGGCCGAGTTACAGTTTTGACTTAAATCTGGTTGAAAATCTATGGCAAGACTTGAAAATGGTTGTCTAGCAATGATCAACAACCAATTTGACAGAGCTTAAATACTTTTTTGAAGAACAATGGGCAAATGTTGCACAATCCAGGTATGGAAAACTCTTAAGAGAGACTTACCCAGAAAGACTCACAGCTGTAATTGCTGCCAAAGGTGATTCTAACATGGGTTGAATACTTATCTAATCAACATACTGTATATTAGTGTTTTATTTGTTATTATAATTTTTTACAAATGTTAGCATTTTTTTCCCACAATTAAATCCATTTTAATCCCACTTTGTAACACAACAAAATGTGGAAAAAGTCAAGGGGTGTGAATACTTTCTGAACGCACTGTAGATGCTCTCCAATCACCAACAGAGGGCAGTGTAAACTATGTCATCAAATAGTGAGTCCTGACAGTTTCAAAATGCTGACAACTCCAGCTCTATCTCTATCTCTGAGTTAGACATCATCTCTCAGGCATGCTGTTCCCAGGACAGGTTACTCACATGACATGTCACACACTAGTGCCCTCATGACCTACTGCTTCCATAGCTGAAACCAGACCTGGGATAACTATAGTTTTAACTATTCTTTGTGGATGGTAACATTTGTTTTCGGGGGAAAAAATAGTTACTTTGGAGGTGACTACAACTATTTGAATACAAATCCAGAAAAATAACTACTTTTTAAAGCTATTTGAATACAGATTTCAGAAAGTGAATACTTTTCAAAACTACACTGAACAAAAATATAAACGCAACATGCAACAATTTCAAAGATTTTACTGAGTTACAGTTCATATAAGGAAATCATTAGGCCATAATCCATGGATTTCACATGACTGGGAATACAGATATGCATCTGTTGGTAACAGATACCTTTAAAAAAAGGGGTAGGGGTGTGGATCAGGAAAACAGTCAGTATCTGGTGTGACAGGCATTCTCCTTCACATTGAGTTGATCAGGCTGGTGATTGTGGTCTGTGGAATGTTGTCCCACTCCTCTTCAATGGTAGTACGAAGTTTCTGGATATTGTCGAGAACTGGAACAAGTGGTCGTACACGTCGATCCAGAGCATACCTAAACATCCCTGCTCAATGGGTGACCTGTCTGGTGGGTATGCAGGCCATGGAAGAAAAGGGACATTTTTAGCTTCCAGGAATTGTGTACAGATCCTTGCGACATGAGGCAATGCATTATCATGCTGAAACATGAGGTGATGGCGCCGGATGAATGGCACGACAATGGGACTCAGGATCTCGTCATGCTATCTCTGTGCACTCAAATTGCCATCGATAAAATGCCAATTGTGTTCGTTGTCCGTATGCCTACCCATACCATAACCCCACCATGGGGCACTCTGTTCACAACGTTCACATCAGCAAACCGTTCGCCCACACTACGCAATCTGCCTGGTACAGTTGAAACCGGAATTCATCCGTGAAGAGCACACTTCTCCAGTGTGCCAATGGCCATCGAAGGTGAGCATTTGCTCACTGAAGTCTGTTGCAACGCCGAACTGCAGTCAGGTCAAGACCCTAGTGAGGACTACTAGCACGCAGATGAGCTTCCTTGAGACGGTTTCTGACAGTTTGTGCAGAAAGTCTTCGGTTGTGTAAACCCAGAGTTTCATCAGATGTCCGGGTGGCTGGTCTCAGGCGATCCCGCAGATAAAGAAGCCAGATGTGGAGGTCCTGGGCAGGCTTGGTTACACATGGTCTGCGGTTGTGAAGCCGGTTGGACGTACTGCCAAATTCTCTAAAACGACATTGGAGGCGGCTTATGGTAAAGAAATGAACATTAAATTCTCTGGCAACAGCTCTGGTGGACATACCTGCAGTCAGCATGCCAATTACACGCTCCCTCAAAACTTGAGACATCTGTGGCATTGTGTTTTGTGACAAAACTGCACATTTTAGGGTGGCCTTTTATTGTCCTCAGCACAAGGTGTACCTGTGCAATTATCATGCTGTTTTAATCAGCTTCTTGATATGCCACACCTGTCAGGTGGATGGATTATCTTGGCAAAGGAGAAATGCTCACTAACAGGGATGTAAACAAATTTGTTCACAAAATTTGAAAGATATACGCTTTTCGTGTGTATGGAACATTTCTGGGATATTTTATTTCAGCTCATGAAATATGGGACCAACTACATGTTGCGTTTATATTTTTGTTCAGTATATTTGAATACAGTTCTCAGAAATTAACTACTTTTGTAAAATACTTGAATACAGATCTCAGGAAGTGACTCAGGAAACTATCGGATTGGCTGCTTTGAACTAATGGCAGGGCTGTATCTGGAACTGCATGTTGAAGATAAATAGAATGAATAGAGCACACACAATCTCCTATACTATTGCAATCGATCTGACAGTCATATTTGAACCATTTAGTTCCAAAACACTATATACATTATTCATTTAAAATGATTTGTTTATTAAACATGTACCCGTAGGCTGCCACAAATACATACAGAGTTTAAGTGATGAATTCCACATAAACAGGAAAAGAAAACAAAAAAGAAGTGGGCCTCCACCCTCAACCTCCACCCCCAACCTCCACCCACAACCTCCCCCCACTCCTGGAAACCATGTTTCCCACCCCTTCCCACCCCACCTAGCGACTAGGGTTGCTTATAAGTCACCCACCACCCCTTGCTCCCCCTCTCGGCGACGAGTAAAACCCCTCCCTATACCACCCGTTCCCCCGTGGGCCTGAAAGCAAAGAAAGTAAAAAAGATGAATATACACTACCAGTCAAAAGTTTGGACACACCTACTCATTCAAGGGTTTTTCTTTATTTGTACTATTTTTTACGTTGTACAATAGTAGTGAAGACATCAAAACTATGAAATAACACATATGGAATCATGTAGTAACCAAAAAAGTGTTAAACAAATCAAAATCTATTTTATATTTGAGATTCTTCAAAGTAGTCACCCTTTGCCTTGATGACAGGTTTGCACACTCTTGGCATTCTCTCAACCAACTTCACTTGGAATGCTTTTCCTACAGTCTTGAAGGAGTTCCCACATATGATGAGCACTTGTTGGCTGCTTTTCCTTCACTCTGCGGTCCAACTCATCCCAAACCATCTCAATTGGAGATCATCCGTTCACCCACACCGCATCTCACAAAGACACGGCGGTTGGAACCAAAAATCTCCAATTTGGACTCCAGACCAAAGGACAAATTTCCACCGGTCTAATGTCCATTGCTCGTGTTTCTTGGCCCAAGCAAGTCTCTTCTTCTTATTGGTGTTCTTTAGTAGTGGTTTCTTTGCAGCAATTCGACCATGAAGGCCAGATTCACACAGTCCCCTCTGAACAGTTGATGTTGAGATGTGTCTGTCACTTGAACTCTGTGAAGCATTTATTTGGGATGCAATTTCTGAGGCTGGTAACTCTAATGAACTTATCCTCTGCAGCAGAGGTAACTCTGGGTCTTCCATTCCTGTGGTGGTCCCCATATATATATATATATATAAAAAATTGCGGGGGATTTTTCAGGGGGTGCTGCAGCACCCTTAGCACCCCTACTTCCCGTGGCTATGTTTGCAAACATTGCAAACAGCAAATTGAATGCTTAGCAATTATAAAGCAATTTCCAAAGTCCTATGTAACAACAATGTTGCAACTACTTACTACACATGTATAAGAACTTGATGTCAGGGGAGATCGTCTATCCATGTCCTGAGGACATCGGGAAATGCCATCAAAACCGGCCACTCTGGATCAGAAGGTTGCATGTTCGATCCCAGTCATGGACACTGGTTTTAAATTAGTTTGTTTTAACCCTATCCCAAACCTTAACCCTTACCTTAACCTCTATCCCATGACTCTGGATCAGAAGGTTGTATGTTCGATCCCAGTTGTGGACACTGTTTTTTTATTTGGGGGTTTTAACCCTATCCCAAACGTTAACCCTTACCTTAACCTCTCTCCCATGACTCTGGATCAGAAGGTTGTATGTTCGATCCCAGTCGTGGACACTGTTTTTTTATTTGGGGGTTTTAACCCTATCCCAAACCTTAACCCTTACCTTAACTATTCGGAAAGAGTGCCTAAGGCAGTCTGACTCGACCTTCGCCTCTCCCGAGCCAGTTGGGGAGTTGAGACAAGATCGAAATTGGGGAAAAAAAGGGGGTAAAAAAATTAAAATAATAATACAGCAGAGAGGTCAGACAGTGAAACATGAGGATATTAATGTGGGGCAGTCAGTCACACAGGGCCTCAGAAAAGACACACAACAGCACAGTAATGCGTCTCTCTCTTATCATCACATAACAAGCTAGAGAGAGTGTGAGGGTTGTTGTGTGTCAGTCAAGGTGATTCATCATGACAGCTGTGGAAAATCTGTCTGAATTACTGTGTAAATGAGAGCATGTTTTCACAGCATGTCCAATGGCAGCTCCTGCTTCTATGTTTGATACATGACCATGTATCAAATCCAAGTCTCATGTATGCCACAAGACGGTGTTAGCCTGCTGAGCTTAAGCCTAGACCTTACGTCCAGGACATACTGCAAGTCTTCACAGGTACGGTTGCATGTTCACTTATTGTGTGGATGCGTCCATATGTTTGTGTATGTGTGTGTATGTGTGTGGGTGTACAGTAAGACTCACCATAACCATAAGTGGTCTCCTCCAGGGAGGTAGGAGAGGTGTGGAAGAGGTTTTTAATAGGGCAGCCGTCCACATCCAGCCGGGGGAGGGACACTGCGTTCTTGATGATGGGGGAGATGGGAGGGGGTGTCGGGGACAGGTCCTTCGACCCCCCCCTGGGACGCTCTGGTGTCTTCCGAACATGCCGGAGGGTCCGAGAGAAGAAAGCCCCGATCTTGTTGTCAGGACTTGTGACGGAATCATCATCCCCGTTTCCGTTGGCGGCCCCACCGTGGTTGCTAAGGAATGAAGTGTCCCCGAACACGTCCCCTCCGCGGCCCACGTGCATGGTGTGGCGGAAGTCTCCCAGCGGAGGGCTGATCATGTCCAAGGTGAGGTCACCTTTGAAACTACGTTTACCCTGAGAGCCGGCCACCAGGCCCTTTAGCCCAGGGATCTTCCCCAGGTTCATGGCGATGGCCAAGGGTATGGTCTTCTAAAAAATTACAAAAATCTGTTTAAATCCACTGAAAGTGGGGATGGATATGGAATTTAAATATCTTTGGCGAAACTGTTAGTGGAGATTTGCTTTAGAAATGCTCCCAGGGGGATTGTGTGCCTCAAAAGTAATGATTGTGATCGTTTAGGTTTTGAATAGAATTCCACCACCAGGTCTTGTAGAGTCAACTTCAGTAATGGAGCAGTCTATTGTATTATTTTGTTATCATGTGCTGTTTGCAATTTCAGTCCCATTTTCTGCTGTTTGTTGTCATCCATATCCAGCTGGATTAAATCAAGAGAAATGGAGGAAAAAAGTATGCAGCTCAGTTCCTGGAATCCACTGACAGTTTGAGTGTGGTCAGAGACGCTGGGCTCGACAGTTGTTTTAGGCTTTGGGTTTATAAAACATCAGCTCAGGAATAACCCCAGTTCCAGCTGCAAATATCCCTCCTGCGGTTGTACACTGGAACCATTTATTAAAAGAAAGCACAAAAATGTATTCAATTCTCCATCTAGGAGAGGCTCAAATGCAGCTATAACAGTCCAGTAACCTTGAGGGGACTTTCTTTGCTAGAGACTGATTTGGTGTATTGATATAGAACCAGGTAATGGGTCTGGCAGAACACATCACTATCTGGAACATTCAGTCATAAAGTAACTGGATCAGGTTTTTCTACAGACCCTTGCCTTCTGTTAGTCCTCAATGTTCCGGGTTTCAAAGTCCACTGTTCTGGAACCTTCTAAATGTAGACCACAGTAACTCTCCTGACACTTCTCTCGAGAACAAATTCAATGTAAGTCTGTTTTTTGTCTGAGAGTTTCAGGATATTTTGTCTCTCTCTCATCCTGCGCTTTGCTACAACACGAGTGCTACTTAATCATATCACATATTTCCCCAAAATACTTTTTATCTGTCTTCAAAAGCAGAGCAGAGACCCTCATTCAACACTTCAAACTGATCTGACCAGAAGCCCCAAATCTTGTTTACAAACATGCAAAGTATGTGCCACCAGATAAAAACATACTGCTCTATTTTTTGCCATAAATGCATAAAATACTGACAAATATCCTGATAAGAAAATCACTTAGCTGACTTTTATTGCACAAAATACCCCAGTAAGTCAACACTGGCAGGAGGTGTACAAATAATGGACTTTTCCTTTGTTCTCTTTAGCCAGCAAAGTAATGGATATCGCTTTCTGTAATAATTTGATAGTGTAACGTACACTGTTCTTTTAAGAGCTTTCCACTGCCGAGGCCCTCCAACGCGCGATAGCCTGGCTTTATTAATGACTTGAAGCAGACCTCTGAATGGGATTGCGTCAGGGTTAAAGCAGCCTTTTAGTTTGCTCCTGACCACAGTCCCAGGCCCTCTCCTTTAGGTCTCCACTGGCTGGCGTTTTAAGAGGGGCAGCTGGGAGCAGCACAGAGGGAGGAAGTATGCCTCATACCACAGACTGGAAAGAGAGCGAAAGAGAGAGAGCGCGAGAGAGAGAGAGAGAGAGAGAGAGAGAGAGAGAGGAGAGAGAGAGAGAGAGAGAGAGAGAGAGAGAGAGAGAGAGAGAGAGAGAGAGAGAGAGAGCAGTACCAGGGGTTCACTTACCAGACCAACAGACTTCTATTAGGTGTGTGTAACTATTAGGTGTAATGTTGAAGACACTCATAACCAGACTTCATATACTGAGAGTTCAAGCCACCACCTTAACATCCCTTACTAACTCTCCTGTGTGACTGTGAGCTGCAAAGGCAAAAGCAATCATGCACTGGTCAGCTTGTGTGTGAATGTGAGGCAAAGCAGATACTCCTCAGTTTCAACCATGTATTTCAAGTGGAGGAGAGATACCTCAACCCCCGTCACACTGTACTAACAGAAGGGCATGGAGCTCTGTTTTACTGTAATCCTGTTTCAGTCGGAGGATCTTTGGCCCATGCTCAGTGGGGGTCGAGTCTGTCCTTACTGTCCTGAGGGGCACGGAGAGAGAGAGCGAGAGAGAGAGAGAGAGAGAGAGACTTTTTGACCTCTCGTCTGACTCCCGCAGACACAGCTGGAGCCCGAAGGTTTATCCCCACACGTCTTTACGGAATGGTCCTATATGTCTCCTATACGTTCCAGCATCCCCCCCATGCCCTGTCCTCCTCCTCTCCTTCTGATCCTTTGTTTTCAGAGTTACGCAAATCCAGCCGCCCACACTCCAGGCATCTGATAGAGCAGGGCTGAAACCGAGCACTGGTTGGTTTCAGAAAAAATAACAAAAACAGAAGTTAAGTCTCTAAAAGGTAATAAGTTTAATGCAGTAATCCGGGCAGCTGTCTGTGTCTTCAGAAGGAAAAAGGGGGGTCTCCTCAGGGGATTGGTCGTGGCCTGGATTAGCCCCTAATCCCTGGATCTCTTCTTCTCCTTGCCCGTCCGTCCAGACTCCCTCTTTTTTTGGGCTCTCTCCTCCCTCTTTCTGGGCTCTGTCCTGGCTCTGACCTCACGCTCTCTGGGTCTGTACTGGTTCTCTCAGCCAGACCTGCTGGTTATCTGCTGGTTATCTGGGTCTGAGAAGCTACCTTGGCCTCACTGAAAACATGCTGTCTGCTGTGGGAGAGAGAGAGAGAGGGGGACACAGGGAGTTAGACATGGTAGGGCATGGTACTGGTACATAGGTAAGGCAGACATAGAAATATAATGAAACATAAATCCTCTGGTATTTGGAGTGCAGCTGTTACTGACAGTTGTTTTCAAAGTTTAATTAAACGTTTAATTTGTATTCCACATTTTTTCCACTCCTTTTCCTGCCACTACCCAAGTAGTAACTATATAATAGATTATGTTTGATTGTAATTCAACTGGCTCAACATTTCTAAACAAATCTCATAACGGCAAAACTCCAAAATTACACAAGCTGAGTATTAAGGGGGTTTCCCAAATACCTCTTCTGTAGGCTACATCACAGACCCATCCAGCCAATCCACCCCCTCCACCATGTAGCTGCCATACCTGTGAGCCAAGGTGAGGTATGGTAGATGTTCACTGCCTGGCCTGTGAGGTATGGTATGCTTTCATCCCAAATGGCAGCCTATAACTTATATAGTGCACTACTTTTGACCAGGGTCCATATGTCTCTGGTCAAAAGTAGTGCACTATGTAGTGAATAGGGTGCCATTTGGGACACACTCTAGATGTTACCCAGAGAAGCCAGGCTCTAATAGGAGCCGTGTGTGTGAACACATTCCTGGGAACAACATCACTGGACTCTCTCTCTCCATTACAACCATCACATCAGAGAGAGAAGAGAAGAACCCAACCACATCCCTGATTAGAAACACCTTTAAGTCTAATCCCCCTTTCCTTCTCTGAGGCTGGTTGGCTATATTACAGTACTGTATGAAGATCTCATGGTTTGGAAAGATACAGCTGGCACACACACATGCAAAAAACACACGGCTAGATCAATGGACTGGAGAGATACTGTACTGTACTATCAATAATCTTTTATTGAATTGAATGAGTCAGGATTTTATACAGAATTATGTTTTGTTGGGTATACCAACCAGTATTCATTTGACCCCTCTCCTCCTTTCCAAACTCCAGTCCTATTTTAAGTCACTTACTCACTAACTAAGTTAACCAGGTGAACAAACATACAAGATAAGGCTGCATTTTTTCACTCCCCCTGCAACATCCAAATAATTGTTCTTCCTCTTAGCTGTACTCTATTTGAATCCAAGGAAACTAGAGCAACACTTCCCCTAAGACAATATTTTTTTGTAATGCTTCTTCAACAAACATCCATAGGCATAGGCTCTTGAAGCGTCTATCCTTCCTTTATCCTTTGTCCTTCTTTGCCCCCCTTTCATCGCTCTCTCTCCCGCACTCCCCCCTCACTCTCTCTCTACACCTCTTTCTCTCTCTCTCTCCATTTGGCATTTGCCATGCTGTTGTGGACAGACTTTGAAGGGGTCAGGGGAGGGAATGAGTCAGGCCCATTTGGTGACGTTGACAGGTCATGATGGAGCATGTATCCCTTTGCTCTTTATGTGTGGCAACCAAGACACCAACAACAAGTAGCCTCAGGTGTTAAAACAGACAGTGCGTCCATACTGGGAATTCACACCTCCTAAACTGACCTCTTTCCTGGTTGCGTCAAACAAAGATGGTGGATAAATGAAGATAGTTCACCCAGACCATTTACCATTGGATTTTTTTCTCTGCTTAATGGGATGGCTCTCCCATAGACACAAATACGATAGCAGCTGGGTCTGGTCTGATTAGGTAATTGAATTCAATGTAACCAGAAAAAACCTGCGAGTGGGGTGTCTCGCTTCTTCTTCCGTCTCTGGCGTCAATGACACAGGGGTCACATGGGAGGATTGTGGGGCACAGGTACAATTGTCCAGAGTTAAAATTAAGGAATCTCATTGGATGAGGCCAACAGGGAAGGAATGCCCCAACTCTACATTCCAATACCGCATCATCAGATTCTGATTCTAGGTGTTTGATGGTTATTCTGGTTAAATATGCACGAGTAAAGCCGGCTGCAGGACAAAATTGAAAACCCAAAATCAATAGAGGCATGAGATGGTCAAACAGGTCTACTGTGGCCATGCGTAAGCTAGAGTAGATCAATCAGACCTGCCTGGTGTTGCAGGCAGAGCGCCAGGAAAACATTGCTATTGAATAACACACACGTTATCACAGAGCCTGCTCTCTCCATTGATCTGCCTGGTGTGTGAAGCTAACAAGCTCTCCAATCAATTGTATTGTCTGATCTCCCTAATGAGGTCAGAGTAATGAGACCTCTGTTATGTAGTGTTGCTACCCTTGACATTTGGAGCAGGGGCTACATCATTAACTTGTTGATATGTGAGTTAGGGGGTCCCCCTACAGTTTAATAACAGTGCTGTTACACAAGTCATTTTGATTAATTGTTGAATCCTCAATGGTACATTTTCTGATTCACCCCATTAAACATCAGATGAACATAT